ATATATATATATATATATATATATATATATATATATATATATATATATATATATATAATAAATTAAAAAAAGAAGGAAAATTATCAGATTCCTAAGATCAAGTCCGCTGAACAATTGCCTTCTCCATTCTCTGTTCTTCCATTTATTTGAAACTTAGCTCGACATATTACATTATACTGCATTGTTCATGTAATTTTTGTTTGAAATATTTCTTTATTACACAATGTACCATTAATCCATTTGTAGTGTAATGAGAATGAGATCTTCGTGTCACCACTTTATGAAAAAAAAGATTTTAAATTTCGATACGATTTTAGTATTAAGATTTTTGAAGTATTCGAATGTAATATCAGAATTTCAGAAATGGCAGATTCAATGTTCGGCAGATCAAAATTTGGAACAAAAATTCTTATAAATTTGATCTATCATTTAGAATAACAAAATTCTAATATATTTTGATTCAACGACTTCAACAATTTTAAAGCATATCCGTTTTTATAACAATCTGACTATTTTTTCAAATTTTCCGCCATATTGGATCTGCTATTTTGAATTTTGAAATTCAGATTCCTTATATTTGGATTTAGCGACTTCGAAAATCCTAGGATAATCATTCTTATAAAGATCTAATTATTTTTCTAAATTTTGACCCGCCATATTGGATCTGCCATTTCGAATTTTGAAATTCTAATATTATATTCAGATTCAGTGAAAACCTTGAAAACCGTAGAGTTCCATAAGTTTCATACAAATCGCAACAGGATAAATTGATTTTTTTTATGTGCACACATTTTTTTATATGCTATATTATACACTAGTGACATGCTTTTTTATGAGCATTAATGCATACACTATTAAGGAGTTAACGAATTATCTAGGGACCATGGAATTTTCTGGTCACTCTGTATATTTACATGTTTATAAATACTTGCACAAATAAATATCCAGACATCTTTTATGCCATTCAGTAAGGATAATACACCGATCCTAACTCAGGAACTCCGAGGAGGGTGCGGGTGTGCGGGAAGAGAACGGTGGTCGCGGGGGGTAGAAGAGAGGGGGAAAACAGGGGCGGTGATCCTTTGAAATGAGCCGCGGGAGGGCGAGGGATAGGTAAGATAGTAGGATCTGGCAAAGATGATATAAACAAATAGATAAATAAATAGATAAAAAATTGCGACTCGAAGGACATGACGTCACGAGGGGGCGCGGGGGGAGGGGTAGAGGGGAGAGGGAAGTCAGGGGCGGCGGTCCTTTAAAATGAGCCGCAGAGGGAAGGATAGTATGATCCGGTAGTTATAAAAACAATAGATAAACAAATAGATAAACAAGTAGATAAACAAATTTGATATAAACTGTTAACGTTCTAATTGTCCGTTTTTTGGGTCAATACATTTAAATACTTTAACTCTGGGATTGGACTGGTTTTGTGATTTTAATCAGCCTCGAATAAAAAAACGAATTTTAATAAAATTCTAATAAGTTAGGCAAAACAAGGGGGGTCCCTAAACCTCCCAGGAGGAGAGGGGGGAAGGGAGGGAGGTCATAGGATCCCCGGGGATCCGCATCCGGGGAGAAAGGTGGATCCCCCTGGCGGTCGCCGGAGGTAATTTTTTTCTTCTGAATCGGTAAGGATGGTTTCCACCCTTGGGGACGTGGAATGGTTTCCCTCTGGGGTTGGTAGGTGGTTTTTTCCCTTTTTAGAGATGGTTCTCTTCGCCCGTGAGGACACCGCGCGGTTTTTTTCGGCATCGTCCACGGTGAAGGAATGTCGCACGTTTTATTTTTTAGAATGCCGCGGTTAGGCGTGCGTCTGTGTCTAGGCGTCTTCCACGGGACTTAGCGCGTCCTGTTTTTCGTGGCAATGGGAAGGCGCGGATCCTGTTTTTTTAGGATGCCGCGCGTTCTGTTTTTAGGATGTCGCGGTTAGACGGCGTCTTTTACGGGGCTGGAAAGGAAGTCGTCTTTTCGGGAGGATGCCACGGTTTGGCGCGTCTTCGACGCTGCCTCGGAGTATATATCTAGTCGCGAGAGGCATTATTTTCATTGTTAAGAACGTGATATATGGAAAAAGTCACGTTTAACGATGGTTCGTCTTCGAGCGAGAGCGACAATCTGCTTTTACGCGCGTTCGATCGTAACGCGATTTCGACAGTGATATCGATGGCAACGATCGTTGCGAGTCGGTTACCAGTAGTGACGATAGTTTAGAGTGTCACGAAACTATCGCACCTAGTAACGACAAGGAATGGATCGCAGTGAGCGAGGACGTTCGCTGGAACGTGGCCACGTATCACCTGCAACGAAAGACTGGTACGGAAAGCCCGCGAGAGAAACTGTTGCCCGCTCTGAGCAACAGAGTGGTGATTTACGAGAGAATAGCAAGAGAGAGAGAAATTCGAGACATTAAAGTCGTTCCTACGGACGGTCGGGATAACATCATGTGGGGGTCGCGATATGGAGAAGAGTTGCGATCTTCTCAAGCGCGCGGCGGGAGTTGAAAGGGTGTGCGCCTATCGCGTTTGGGAACGGGAGTGCGTCGAGTGTCTCGAGGTTTTGACAGGTGCGAGAATAGAGTCGACCTTACGGTTACCGGAATGATAAATTCTCTGGTCTCTCGAGTAGCGCAGTTGGAGGATGCGAGACTCTCTTTGAGTTGACGTTTCGGTTATTTGGGTATGATGGTTCGAAGGGATTCGAGTGGGTGGACATCGAGACGACCTTCGCGAATCGCGTATGGATGCGGTGGTAAACATCGAGTTCGTCTCTGATGGTTTCTCGAGGAGACGCGAGAGACACGGTGCTCGAGCGAGTGCGCGTCGATCTCGATGCGCACACGTGTTTGAAGGTCAACACCGCATTTCACGAGGAGTTCGTCGTGAATAATAAGAGCGCTGTTAAGAGCATTCGCACGAGGACTCGTTAGCTTTTCCGATCTACGAGAATGGTACGACAGAGACGTTACGGATGTTCTCTTGACGTCGCTGAAGGAATTTCAGGAATGTGACAGCGGTTGGGCGTTACTTCGGATATTAAATTTGATGATCAATGTGAACAAGTGGAATCCCACGCTGGATGTTGGATGTCACTTCCTCTGGAGATAAGGAATAAGAGAG